AGTATTGTAGCCATACTGGACCTGAGATGGAACACTAGACAGCTGACTAGATAAGGGATGGTACAATGGCTGAATAAAACGCCGATTTTCTTCTTCGAAACCCGCTCTGGTAGAGTAGAAATCTCCAGCATAAGGAAAGGGAAAGTTGCCGTCTGCCATTTTGCGTGGAATAGGCGCGAAAGCGTAACCTTACCTTTTATTTAATGCTGCACTCCATTGCGTTTATTTGACATTTAGATCTTGTAATGTATACAAAAGTTGTTATTTTAACTTGTTTTGTCGCTAGTGGCGTGCCTCAGAGGCAAGCCGACGGAACCTTTGAAGTTTGCTCGCCACAGCACAATCTTGTCGCGTGACGAAATTACGTCCGCACTGGCGATGTGACTTGTTTGACAAATTCTGTCAATCACTGCGACTAGTAAAAACAGACTTGTCGCTAGTGCGGATCAGCCCTTAGAACGATCGGCTGAAGTGTCGTAATTGATATGCATTCTTTAGAAAAAATGCAAAAAGCTGCCTCTAAGATGGTGCGTTTTTATCCGAGAGTGAGAGCAGCTGAAGGACCGTCTTTCAGACCTGTCCCTGCTGATTTTGCGAGACTTAGCGCAGATAAATTCTAACAAGGCACCTCAAATAACGCGCGTGGATCAAACTGAACTTGTTTTTATATCGTTTCTTTGTTTGTTTGCTTTTGCTGGGCGTAAGTTTACTAACCGCCTTCACTGGAAAGAGGTTACCAACAGTGGATTACTTAGGTCTTTAGGTTTCTAATTCAGAGAGAAAATAGATCCGTTTGCCTGTACACATATGGTGGTACATGTTTCAATGACGAAAAAGCCGGCACTGCTGCGTTCATTGTTTGGCTTCTTGTTATGGCGTTTTCCAAAGCCAATATGACAACTTAAAAAGTATAGTTTCTTTATGTGTTCATTTTAATGTTTTTCTACTAATATTCTGTTCGTGCGCGTGAACTGAATCTGCCATAAGGATCAAAGATTATATTCAAGTCTTCTCCATGCGCAAACTTCCGTTCGCGCGTGCGTGTCGCTGACCGGCGTGGATGAGAAACTACATCTTCATTCTGAGGTCAAGGGGACAGAAGTGTAACGATAGCACGATAGTGGTTTATTGACCACTTAATATTAACTTTGATATATTGACAGCATAGTACTCTTTTAACGATATGTCACCACATTTTTTGCATTTATCAGATAAGTTGTCTTCGATGGTAATATTTTTCTGTTTTCATCCAGTTCAACAAACTAGAATTCATCATTGTCCGACATAACAATCCATTTGTCTACCTTGTGCCAAAATTCTTTGGCCCTGTGGACTTTATATTAGTTGCAATAAACTAATATAAGCATTTCTCGGTTACAGTTTACTAAACTGCCTTTTGCAGGCATGACATTACACTCTCTTGGTTACACTACACTTCTGGGTGTGCCACCTTAAAGTGTAGCCGAATAGTGTTATTGCAGGCATGACATTAGACCCTCTTGGTTACATCACACTCCTGGGTGTGCCACCTTAAAGTGTAGCTGAATAATGTTATTACAGGCATGA